AAAGAGGCTGAGGAAGACAGTGGGGCTGATTTCAGCAGGTGCAGAAGGAGGCCTTCCTGGCAGAGGCGTGTGGTTAGTTTGGCCACGGTGTGAGAAAGGGATGGAAAGACACTGGCCGTAACTCAAGGAGCCTTAGATGTTACTCTGGAAGCCTCAAACTAACACAGGGGGTGCCAGGAACCCACTGAACGTTGTCTTGAGCAAGGGAGCTACTCTCCCACTTGGACATGTTCGGTAAGACTGACTGATAAAGTATGCGGGCCGGGGGCGGGGTGGCGGGGACAGCTGGGAGGAGGGAGTGGGTCTGAAGACCCTGAGGTGAGGATGCTCCGGCTGGCCAGCTGGCACAGGCGGGCGAGGAGTGAGTTACTGATGGCTCCCAGAGGCAGGTGGAGACAAAGGCCTCACTGTAACCTACACAAGCTGAGGGGCAAGAAGCAGGCAAGAGGAGACGGTAACGGCTTTGCTTCAGGATAAACACGATGTCCTCCAACTGAAGACACAGGTCTAGGACTTGTGGGAAAAGGCAGGACTGAAGCTAAAGACAGACGGAGGTGGGGAGCGAAGCCACAGGAACAGTTAAGACAACCAACCAAGGAGAAGTACCGAGCGGAGGGGAGGAGGCTGCGGAGAGAAGCCGGCGGATACCCAGAGTGACGGGGAAGAACGCGCCGGGGAGGCGGGCAGGTGGAGCTGGTATCAGAGGGGGGGTTTCATGGACAGAATCTATCAGATTCTGAGGAAAGGTCAAGGAGGAACAAAAAAATGTACGAGCAAAACACGAAATGAAGCATGTTCAAAAACCAGCTCCAACAGGGACAGCAGGTATAACTAAGCTGCATGAGAATTAAGAACCTGGAGAGCTCCAGCCTGAAGAAAGCTGTATTGAAAGACCTGAGGGGCCGGCCGTCACGCGCGAGGCCCCGGAAGCGGCCCGGAGGGGGAGCGTCAGGGTTGTCACCGTGCGGCCAACGGTGCCGACCCCCACCTCCTCGGCCGGACTTCAGACGCCGGGGGCAGGACTGTGTTTTGCTCACTGCTGGGCCCACAGAACCTAGCTTAGAACAAAGGAGACACTTAGCAAAACAGCTGCTGACTGGATGAATCTCTCCCACTTCTCACTAAGGCCCTGCTCCTTCCCGGAAACATTCTCTTTGGAGGAAACTCGTCAGCCGGGCAGGTGGCGCTGCCGGAGCGGAGGTGAAGCTGAGAGGGTTCAAGCGCTGGGGGATAGGGGTGGGCTAGAGGAGCTGCCGGGGGCTTTTGGACCCTGACATTTGGTAATTTTTATGAAAAATGACGAAAATATAGCAAATAACAAAACTCAAATAAAGTCAGGGGAGTACTCCAAACGTGAAACAGCACGTTAAACCATGCATGGTGTTGGCTGGCTGGTTGCGTATTTATACTAAAATATCTTGTTGATTAAGGTATTAAGTCTCAATCTAGACTTTAGTTCGACAAGTGTTTACTGAGCACTGACCAGGTGCTGGTCCTCAGCTCTGCCCCAGGCCTCCAGAAATGAGCAAGATGGGATGAGGGCCACCTGTCGAGGCCTCTGAGTCTGGCCAGCAGCAGGTCAGCTCTGCGCGGACCCTGTCGGGGGGCCCAGCACACTAAGAAGTCCGTGTGTTCCTGCCAGGGGACTGGGAGCTGCTGGAGGTTTGGGTCTAATGGCGTCTGGCACGAAGCAGGAGTCACAAAACGGCAGCTGAACAGGTAACGTGGATAGCTGAGCCATAACAACAGAGCGCTGAAGACGTGCCATAGGAGGGGCTCTCTCTTTGGGGGTGGGGCAGATGAGGCAGGCTTCCTGCAGGAGGCAACCCTGAGCTGGGCTCCAAAGACTGAAGAGAAGCGCCCTGTGGGCAAGCGGGGGAAGGCAGAGGTGCCGGGTGCCTCTGGAGCAGAGGAAGGGGTGGTGCGAGGCGAGACTGGGGAGAGGGCGGGGACTAGACCACTCAGAGCCTGTGGGCTGTGCCACGTTGGTCAGCAGTCAGGGCAGAGACACCTGATCACAATTTGAAGTTTATTAAGACCTGAAGACATAATCTTCTTAAGGCTCTAACAATGCATAAATAAATACAAATCCATAAAGAAGTAATCACGTTTGCCCAAGAAACAGGTTTGCCTCAGACATACTGGTAAAAGGACCTGCCAGGGAGAAGCAGCAGAGGCCTGCCGGCCCCACCCCCGGCCCCGCCCCCCCATCCTACCTGAGCTGAGCTTTGAGCTCAGTGAAGCGGGGCCGCCGGCTGGGGTCGTAGGCCCAGCACTTGGTCATGAGGCTGTAGAGGGTGGGAGGGCAGTTCGGAGGCATGGGCAACCTCTCCCCGTTCTCAATGCGACCAATCACATCATTGTTCTTCACGCCTTGAAAGGGCTTCACACCGTGCATCAGTATCTCCCACATACACACACCTGTGAGGCGGGGACGAAAACACAGTGGTAAACTTAGCAGCAGGAGTGCGATTCCCACGTTTCAGGAATAACTTCATGGTTCATACGAGAGAACCACCTGTGTGATTACGGGCACATCAGCCAAATAAAGCCGCATTCAGTTAGCTCTGTTATCAAATAAGAACAGGAATACTAATTTAGTACGGTGCAAATAATGAAACAGTATTATCAAGAAAAAACCCCATTACTTTTCTAAGAGGTTTATTTCTCTAAAAAAAAATCTACATTAGAAAATGGCCCACCAGCTACAGTGATATTTCATAGCATAGTTTAGTGAACCAATTCAAAAAAAAGCTGAATGAATTTTAGATTTCCCTCCACTTTAGTCCAACCTGCTTGTCATCACAGCAGCTGACTTGAAGCTTAACAAAGAAAACCCTGCAACTTAAGTCCTGCGCTTTCAGAATACTCAGATTCCCCTACAGGTCCCCATCACTTGGCGCTCTGGCCACTCAGACCTGCACCTGAACACGCTCCTTCGTGACTTGGCTTGTGCTGAATTCTAGATTCGATGCCTTTCATTTTCTTCTCCACCAGTTCTCTTCTTCCAGGTCCCTTTGTGAGTTTCCTGCCCTGCCTGCCCTGCCCCCTGGGAACCTCCCGTCTAACCCACCGCAAGCGTGCCCCATACACCGGGTCCTGGGGGCAGGGGGGCTGTGAGTGTCTTTCTGTATCTTCAGCACCTAAGATGCTGTGTGCCTCAGAGGAGGAAGGCATATACCATTATGCCATTATATCACATTAATGTGAGTTAGATCTGAAATTAGCCAAAAGTCCAACGACTTCAAAGTAAAGAGTATATGATAAAAATGATGCCTTAGTTCTGCTTTTCTCACCAGAAATTATGACAACATCATTAGTAATAACAACACTGGGTATCATTTCTTGAGACCTTCATATGTCTCTGGCACCTTTCCTTGAAATTTACACTATCCTTAATTCTCACACCTTACATTTCTTTAAAAACTGTATTTTATCAAATCTGAGGTGCCACTGATTGTAAGAGACACTATTATTTTATATTACCAAAAAGGGGGGATATGCTGCCCACTAAGTTGTAATGTGATCCTTTGTTACCTCTTAGAATTATTTTATTCTTACCAAAGAGCGG